GAAACAAAGGAGCTGCCTTAAATTCAGGAAGTAGTGGAGCTGTGCATAGAGCCCATTAGGTAGAGGAGCAGCGGAGCGTCTGTGGAGGGGGCGGGACGTCTGGAGCCGAGGTATTGAATTGCACTCATTGCACTGATTTTCTGCAGTATTTTTTGATGCAAGGCGTTTCAGAATCTATAACGCAGGGAATTATTGTTTTTCAGTGAATGAGGTTATTTGCTATCTGTTATTTGCTATTGTTTCTCAAAAAAAAAATGCATAACGATATCACAGCTTTCATTGATTTATTTAAAATTTGAAACACTGTCTAGCCTATAAGGTGTTAAAAAAAATATGAACAAATTAATTGAATCAAGCGTATTGTGGTGTATTCTTGAGTATTGAAAATATTCAAATCATTGTGACCCAATGATTTGATTATATTACGGAAATCGATGCTGAATCGAATCGCCATGATGGATGTGATTTACACCTCTAGTAGGGAAAGGGATTTTTTTCAGTAAACTCAATTTCCTCTGTCTCCGCCCTCCTTACAGCCAATCAAGCTGTTTTATGTCCTAATTTAGTCAGATTTTAGTTTTGTGCATAAAATATACATATCATTCAGTAGGTCTGTTACGCACATTAGGTGTTAAAAACAAACATTGCATGTTTGTTTGATGAGGAAATTATTAAAGAATGATCTGAACTTTTTCACAGAGAATCAAATATTTATAGGAAGACAGGACGTGAGTTTACTTGTTTTTGGTTTGTTTATTATGAGCGAGATGCCGATCATTTTATTTTTTATTTAGCTTTATTAACAGTACGTGAAGAACTACTGAAATTATTTTCAGATTTCACATAAATAGATTCATTAATACTGTGGGGGAAAAGGAATTACTTTAGGGCCAGGATTAGGATTCACTCGATGATAAAAACCTACTGAGCCCACATGAACAATCTGAAGCCCTTCTATGGGACTAATAGCTGCTAATTACGGCCATTTTTCTGCAAACATCCACTTTACTGTGTAAAAGAAAACTGAATCAACATGAGGAGGAACCCATTAGATGATGCACAGGTTCTATATTTTAGAACAACATTTTTAAAATTTATTTTCACCTGCTGCAAGAAGTTTTAACCTAAATAGATACATTGATCTACTACCATTCAAGAAACAACAGGTTATGGCAAGCCGTTTTGATATGTACTACTTTCACTGAATATGCATTCTTGAGATAAAAAAAAAAAAAATGTTTTTCTTTGTTCCACAAAAAAAAGATATTCACCATCTAGAATAAACATTCTGAATGTCTAGAATTTAATTTCAGATCTCCATATTCCTAATATTACTGGTCACAATTTGTATTATTTTAACTATGAAAAAATGTTTTTCAGATAAAATAAATACATCTTTATTGAAGCTGATAAATGTCAGAACAGCCACTTAAAATGTAAAACATTTCTAAATATATAAAACTTAATTCTTACTAGTTTGATTTTGTTTAGTTTTTTTACTTTATAAGATTCAGTTTCTGCAACTAAAATGTAAATTAGAAAATATGTTATTTTTTCTTATTTTTGAGAGATTCAGTAGAAAAAAGAAAGAAAGAAAATATGTTATTACAGTTCAGTCTAGGAGTTTGATTTTGATCAAGAAGAATCTTATTTTAGTGGAAACAAATGGAACAACAGAGAGGAGTCATTTTAATAAATGTAAAAACAGCCTGCCGTAGCCCTGGAGCTTTGTCATCCTCCTCTCCTTTATAGCTGTAGCGCTGTTTCTCTGTCT